GGAAATTCAGCAAGGCCTCCTTTTTGGTTGTGGTTGTTGTGTTTGTTTTTGAGATGGAGTCGTCTTGCTCCATCCCCCAGGCTGGAGTGCAGTGGCATGCTATCAGCTCACTGCAACCTCTGCCTCCCAAGTTCCAGTGATTCTCCTGCTTCGGCCTCCAGAGTAGCTGGGATTACAGGCACGTGCCATGACACCCAGCTAATTTTTTCTATTTTTTTTTTTTTAGTAGAGACAAGGTTTCACCTTGTTGACTAGGCTGGTCTTGAACTCCTGATCTCAATTGATCCATTTACCTTGGTCTCCCAAAGTGCTGGGATTACATGCAGGAGACACTGAGCCCAGTGACAAGGCCTCTTTGTTCAGTATCTTCTCTGTGTCCCTGTCTTCAGAGATAAGGATGTTTCACTGGGTGCAGTGGCTCACGCCTATAATCCCAGAACTTTGGGAGGCTGAAGCAGGCAGATCACAAAGGTAAGGAGATGGAGACCATCCTGGCTAACACAGTGAAACTGCATCTCTACTAAAAAGACAAAAAAATTAGCTGGGTGTGGTGGCACACGCCTGTAGTAGTCCCAGCTACTCAGGAAGCTAAGGCAGGAGAATCGCTTGAACTTAGGAGACAGATGTTGCGTGAGCTGAGATCAGGCCACTGCACTCCAGCCTGGGCAACTGAGAGAGACTCCATCCCAAAAAGTAAAATAAAATAAAAATAAATAAAAACATTGATGGGTCCAGGCCTGGTGGCCCACACCTGTAATCCTAGCACATTGGGAGGCCAAGGTGGGTGAATCACCTGAGGTCGGAAGTTAACCAGCCTGGCTAATATGGAGAAACCCCGTCTCTACAAAAAATACAACAATTAGAGGGCTGAGGTGAATGGATTGCTTAAGCCTGGGAGTTCAAGGCTACAGTAAGCCAAGATAGCGCCAATGCATTCCAGCCTGGGTGACAGAGCAAGATGCTATCTCAATTAATAAATAAATAGGCTGGGTGAGGTGACTCAAGCCTGTAATCCCAGCACTTTGGGTGGCCTGGCTGGGCGGATCATGAGGTCAGGAGATCGAGACCATCCTGGGCAACATGGTGAAACACCATCTCTACTAAAATACAAAAAATTAGCCAGGCAGAGTGGTGGGCGCCTGTAGTCTCAGCTACTTGGGAGGCTGAGGCAGAATTGCTTGAACCCGGGAGGCAGAGCAAGCCGAGATCACACCACTGCACTCCAGCCTGGTGACAGAGCAAGACTCCATCTCAAAAATAAACTAAAAAATAACTATACTGATGGAAAATGAGGTTGTTTTCATTTTTTGGTATCATACAAATAAAGCTGCATGAATATCTCTGTACATGTAGATCTATTCCATTCTCAAACTCTTATTTATTCAGAACCTACTATGTGCTGGTCACAGTTCGAGGCACGGGATACAGCAGTACAATAAACATGATTTTTTACCCTGATAGGGTTCCCATTCTAGTGGGAGTAGACAGAGGAGTTAAGTAGGTGAAAAATAGATGGTGATTAGTGTTGGAAGAAAAATTGAAAATTTTGAGGACATTTAATTTATTTAAAAAAATTTTAGGCTAGATTTAAAATATTCTCTTGCCCAGGCGAGTCTCAAACTTCTGGGTTCAAGCAATTCTGCCTCAGAGTCCTGAGTAACTGGGACTAGAGGCACATGCCATCACATAGGGGGTTAATTTAAAATAGGATCGCTAAGAGAAGGCCTCACTGAGAAAGTGACATTTGTGTGAAAACCTGAAGTATGGAAACGAATCACATGGTCAGCTGAGGGAAGAGGATTCCAGATAGGGCGAAGAAGGTGTGCAAAAGTCCTAAGGCAAGATGTCCTCTGAGGTTTCCAGAGACCTCATCCTGGAATGGCAAGGAGGCGAGTATGGCTGAACCAAGAGAGAAAGGAGGAAGGTGGTGGGAAACGAGGTCAGCAATGTACATGAGGTCAGATGCAGAAGGCCTCACAGGCCATTGAAAGGATTTTGGCTTTAAGCTCTAACACAAGGTGTGGGTAGCCTTGGGAGGGTTTTAAGTAGAGTAGTAACAGGATTTGATTTGTGATTTAATAGGATCACTTTGGTTATTGTCCTGAGGATAACCTAAAGAAAGGTAAGTGGCTCACGCGTGTAATCCCAGCAGTTCAGGAGGCCGAGGAGGGCAGATCATGGGGTCAGGAGATCCAGATATCCTGGGCTAACACGGTGAAACCCTATCTCTACTAAAAATACAAAACATTAGCCGGGCATAGTGGCACACACCTGTAGTCCCAGCTACTCAGCCTTTGGAGGTTGAGGCAGCAATCACTTGAACCCAGGAGGTTGCAGTGAGCTGAGATCGCACCACTGCACTCCAGCCTGGGCGACAGAGCAAGACTCTGTCTCTAAAAAAAAAAAAAAAAAAAGAAGGGGCCAGGGTGGATCACCTGAGGTCAAGAGTTCAAGACCAACCTGACCAACATGGTAAAACTCCATCTCTACTAAAAATACAAAAATTAGCCAGGCGTGGTGGTGGGTGCCTGTAATCCCAGGTGAGACAGAAAGGGAGAAACTGAGGATATCTCTAAGATATTTGACCCAAGTAACAGGAAGGGTGGAAGAGCCATGAACTGAAAGAAGGAATCCAGTGGGAGGAATGCATTTGGGTGTGGGGATGAGACTGGGAGCTGGGTTTTGGTCCTATCAGCTTTTAGATTTCTGTTAGATACCCAAGTGAAGACATTAAGCAGGCACTTGGAGTCTTGAATGCAAGAGAATGATCTCAGCTAACAGTACAAATTTGAGGATTGCCCACATGTAGATAACATTTAAAGCCATGAAACTGCTGCGGATGAACGGGGAGCTAGGATAAATAAAAAGGAAAAAGAGTGGACTTCAAGCCCGGGTACTTACTCTTTGGCCTTCTAAGGATGTAATGAAAAAACAGGCCGGGTGAGGTGGCTCATGCTGGTAATCCCAGCACTTTGGGAGGCTGAGGCAGGCAGATCACGAGATCAAGAGATTGAGCCCATCCTGGCTAACATGGGGAAACCCCATCTCTACTAAAAGGCCAAAAATTAGCTGGGTGTGGTGGTGCATGCCTGCTACTCAGGAGGCTGTGAGGCAGGGGAATCACTTGATCCAGGGAGGTGGAGGTTGCAGTGAGCCAAGATCATGCCGTTGCACTCCAGCCTGAGGGCCAGAGTGAGACTCCGTCTCAAAAAAAAGAAAAAAGCCTGGCGTGGTGGCTCACGCCTGTAATCACAGCACTTTGGGAGGCCGAGGCTGGTGGATCACGAGGTCAAGACATCGAGACCATCCTGGTCAACATGGTGAGACCCCGTCTCTACTAAAAATACAAAAAAAAATTAGCTGGGCATGGTGGCGCGTGTCTGTAGTCCCAGCTACTCAGGAGGCTGAGGCAGGAGAATTGCCTGAACCCAGGAGGCGGAGGTTGCGGTGAGCCGAGATCGCGCCATTGCACTCCAGCCTGGGTAACAAGAGTGAAACTCCGTCTCAAAAAAAAAAAAAAAAAAGGAAGAAAAAAGAAAAACAGGGAGAAGATTAAGAGACAAGTAAGGTAGGTGGAACCAATGTGGTATCCTAGAACTCAAGTGAAATCAGTTGAGGAATGAGAACAGACATTTGGATTTACATTGTGGAGGTTGTCTGTGACTTTGACTGGAAGTTTTGTTAGAATGTTGCAGGGTGTATGAGTTAGAGTTCTCCAGAGACAGACCCAATGAGAGAGTGAGGGAGGGAGGGAGGGAAGGAGGGATGGATGGATGGATGGGTGAACAGATGAGAGGGAATTTATTAGGGAAATTGGCTCATGTATAAATCACTTTATTCTTGAAAAGGGGGCGAGCTCGGTGGCTGACACCTGTAATCCCAGCACTTTAGGAGGCTGAGGCTGGAGGATCGCGTCTCTTGAGTCTCAGCCTGGACAACATGGCAAAACTCCATCTCTACAAACAAAACAAAACAAAAATTAGCAGGGCGTGGTGGCACACACCTGTAGTCCCAGCTACTTGGGAGGCTGAGACGGGAGGATAGCTTGAGCCTGGGTGGTGGAGGCTGCAGTGAGCCGAGATCACGCCATTGCACTCCAGGAAACAGAGCAAGACTCTGTCTAAAAAAAAAAAAAAATTCAAAAGGGTTAGTGACCCCAGAGAAAGGATCACTTCATTACCAATTAAGATGATTAGCTGGTCGTGGTGGCCCACACCTGTACTAGTCCCAGCTACTCGGGAGGCTGAGGCACGAGAATAGCTTGAACCCGAGAGGTGGAAGTTGCAGTGAGCTGAAACTACGCCACGGCACTCCAGTCTGGACAACAGAGTAAGACTCCGTCTCAAAAGAAAAAAAAAGAAAGAAGAGAAAAATAAATTAAGATGAACTCCCTTCGGTCAGGTGGAATCAGGACGCCCTGGCTTTCTCGCTGGAGTTTCCTGCGGCAGTGCCTGGAGCCCGCTTCCCGTGCAGTCCTCCAAGGCACGGCCTCCAGCAGGGGTCGCTGCTTCGCCGCCGCCCTGGCCTCGCGTCCCGCCCGACCCGCTCTCACTGCGGCAGCGCCGGCGGAAGGGGCGGGGCACAGGGAGGGGTGGCCTGGAGGCCTGCAGTCCGCGCGGTTGCGGGGAGGGACGGGAGGCCCTGACGTACAGGTGAGTGCGCCCCTGCTGGCGCGCGGTGCCTTGCCCACGGCCCGCGCCCCCTGTCACTTCGCCCTGCGCCCCTCTGCCCCGCCCACGTTCCCTCCAGTTCTCCCCGTGAGTGTCTCGTGTCCTGCCAGCCTCGGGACGCCCGCGAGCCCAGCGCTGCGCAGGGGCTGTGGCCGTTGAGTGCGGCGCAACCTTCCGCCCTGCGCGGTCTCTCCTGCTGGCTCCGAATGCAGACTGAGAACCCAGGGACGCAGTTGTCCATTTCCTTTGACCTTGGGGACCCAGGAAGGTGCACTGCCCGGGGGGGCGGGGAGGGAGCGAGAGGAACCCTCCCATGTCTCAGCCCGCAGCCACCGAGGTCTCCAAGGGAAGGGAGGGATCTGTAGCTGCATTAGACTTCCAAGCGTTTAGACCAATTTCTCCATCTGACGGAGCGGTGAACGGGCTCAGGAATGTGGAGCGTTTCCTGGAGTCAAATAGGTCAAAGTCTGCGCTGCTTTTCTTACAATCTTCGGTTCAGAATGTATACCTCTCCTGAAGATCTCACCCAAAACCACCTATGAGCCTCTGCCGCGATCATCCCTCCACTCACCACACACGAACGCCAAAGAGGTCTTTTAAAATTAACTCTGTCAGGTGTTCTATCCAAGACCCATCATTGCTTGGTCTTTTCCCAGTTATTCGAATGCACCCGTCCCCTTGATGTATTTTTATTCCACAGGGTGGTGGTGTTTCGTTGTTTTTTAAGACTGTCTCTCTCGCCAAGGCTAGAGTACAGTGGTGTGAACTCCGCTCATTGCAGCTTCCCCCTTGCCAGGTTCAAGCGATTCTCCTGCCTCAGCCTCCCGAGTAGGTGTGACTACAGGTGCATGCCATCACGCGCGGCTAATTTTTTTTTTTTTTTTTCCGAGACGGAGTTTGCTCTTGTTGCCCGGGCTGGAGTGCAATGGAATGATTTCGGCTCACCGCAACCTCCGACCCCCCCCCCCGCCCCCAGGTTCAAGTAATTCTCCTGCCTCAGCCTCCCGGGTAGCTGAGATGATAGGCATTCGCCACCACGCCCGGCTAATTTTGTATTTAGTAGAGACAGGGTTTCTCCATGTTGATCAGGCTGGTCTCAAACTCCCAACATCAGGTGATCCGTCCCAAAGTGCTGGGATGACAGACGTGAGCCACCGCGCCCAGCCAAGCCCCTGCCTATTTTTATTTTAGATCTCACTGTGTTGCCCAGCCTGATCGCGAACTTCTGGGCACAAGCAATGCAGTTCTTCTGCCTTGGCCTCCCAAAGTGCTGGGATTATAGGCATAAGCCACCTGCCTGGCCTCCTCCTGCCCTTTCAACCCCCCGTACCCTGCTCCACTTTCTTTCCCCAGAGCATTAACCACCAGCTATCATGTAATTTACAGGAGTTTTTGTTTGTTTGGCTACCTGTTCCCCTTACTAGAATATAAACTCTACAAGAATAGAATCTTCATCTATTTTTTTTTCCTCTGCCGAATTCCTAGTGCCCAGGTTTGTGCTTGGCACATGATAAGTGCTTCACTAAAGGGAGGAGGCCAGTGTTGCTGAAGCTGAATGAGCAAAGGTCAGAGTGGTAGATGAGGCTGGAGAGGAAAAGGGGGTTGCGGGAGCATCAGATTCTGTAGAGCCTTTAGACTGTGGTAGAGTCTTTGCTTTTTTCTGAGTGCTTATGTAGCAATTTGAGGAAAGGAGTGACTTGGTATGAATGACTTTATTATGTACCCACGTGGAGGTGTTAAATAGGCAATTAGATATTGTTGCAGGTCCCCAGGTTCATTGATTCACTAGGAGGGTTCAAAAGACTCAAAGGACTTAAGTCGTGCTCACAGCTGTGATTTATTATCGCAAAAGGAAACAAAGCAAAATAAGCAAGGGGAAAAGATGCATGGGACAAAGTCTGGAGGAAACCAGGTTCAGTCTTCTAAGAGTCCTCTCCTAGTGGAGTCACATGGGGTATGCTTAATTCTTGCAGCATCAAATTATGACAAGATGTGAGAGAGATCTATCAGGAAAGCTCATACAGCTGATTTTTCCAATAAAAAGTCACAGAGGTACTGTGCTTAGAATGCGCCAAAATTTCAGCCTCCCAGAAAACGCAGGTGTTCAGAATCAAACACATTGTAGTTTCAGCACAGTCAGCCACTCTTATCCATCTGGGAGTTGTGGGAACCCTCATGAAGTTCAAGTTCCCAAACACTAGCCAAGGGCCAACGCTGCAAGCAGATATTTCTAAGGATAGCAATCTCAGGCCTATTAACTCTTTTCTGCACAGATGTGTGAGTCCAGAATTTGGGAGAAAGTTCTGGAATGAGGATATAGATTAGGATGTAGTTGGCATGTAGGTGGTATTTAAAGCCACAGAAATGACCAGTGTCTTGATAATGCATTTGTTAGAACTAATTGGGTACACTTAAGAGCTGAGCTGCATAAAAATGTAGAAGAGAAGAGGACCAAAGATAGAGCCTTGGGCCCCTCCAACTTTGATGTCAAGGAGGGCCAGGCACAGTGGCTCAGGCCTGTAATCGCAGCACTTTGGGAGGCTGACGCACGCAGATCACTTGAGGTCAGGAGTTCTAGACCAGCCTGGCCAACATGATAAAACCCTGTCTCTACTAAAAATACAAAAATTAGCCTGGCATGGTGGTGGGCGCCTGTAATCCCAGGTACTCTGGAGACTAAGGTAGAAGAATATGGTTTGAACCTGGGAGGCACAGGCTGCAGTGAGCTGAGATCGCACCACTGCCCTCCAGCCTGAACAACACAGGGAGAAGAGAAGGAGGCAGCAAAGGAGTCTTTCTTTTCCTTTTTCTTTTTTTTTTTTGAGGTAGAGTTTTGCTCTTGTTGCTCAGCCTGGAGTGCAATGGCTTGATCTCGGCTCACTGCAGCCTCTGCCTCCCAGGTTCAAGTGATTCTCCTGCCTCAGCCTCCCAAATAGCTGGGATTACAAGTGCTGCTGAAAAGTCAGTTAAGATGAGGACTAACGTGACCTTTTGGATTTAGAAAATGAAAGGAGTAGAATTGAGGAGAGTTAGACAACCATTTTGAGGAATTTTATAGTAAAGAAGAGCAAGATCAGGAGGTTGAGGCAGGAGAATCGCTTGAACCTGGGAAGCAGAGGTTGTAGTGAGCCGAGATCAAACCACTGCACTGCAGCCTGGGCAACAGAGGGAGACTCGGTCTCAAAAAGAAAAAACGTGGTAGCTGAGGAGTGGAGGTGAGAGGCTTGTGTAATCGCCTGCTTCTGAGTGAAAGAAAAGGGACAGGATCCTGCCCTTTACTGTAGCCACCCCCATGTTCACTTATTTCCTCGTGTATGCCAGGAGCCTGGTATAAAGCACACAGTCCTTGTTGTCAGGGAACTGCCATTTAAGTGGAATGTGGGCAAGTAAACTGCCAGGGCACACATGTGAAAGCAGGTCCAGGGGAGGCTGAGCATCCTTGAACGAGAGAAAAATAACAGCGTGTCAATGGAATGGCCCATTAGAAAGCAACAGAATCACTGTTGTAACTCAGTGTTTCCCCATAGCTCCGTTTTAGGCCACCTTTGCTGTCAGAACTTTGTAGGCATCCTTGCTCTGAGCTCTGGCTGGTGCATCCCTCAGCCTCCCTTGGACCTGCTTTTACTTGGGTGCCCTGGCAGTCAGTTTACTTGGCCACATTCCACTTAAATGGCAGTTCTCTGACGATAAGGACTATGTTTTATATTAAACCTACCCAGGCACTTGTGAGCAAACGAATGAATTTGGGGGTGGTTACAGTGATGGGCAGGATGCTCATTTCATTTCTAGAAATTGAATCTGCAGTCATTCACTGGTGTATGTCCTGAGCAGAGGAGTGAAGAACAGGGCACTGTGTAGGCCCTATCACTACCCTTAGAGTTTAGGAGATAATTTGTGACCTAATTCAAAAGTAACTAAAAACATATAGTGTTGGTGCAATCAGAGTATGGAAAAGGACATGTGGGGCATGACTTGGTAGAGGAGGACGGGGCTCATGTGGATTCTGGAGAAAGAGGAGACCGTGACAAAAAGACAGGAATTTTTCAGTAGTAGATTTTTTTTTTTTTTTTTTGAGATGGAGTTTTGTTGGCCAGGCTGGAGTGCAATGGCATGATCCTGGCTCACCGCGACCTCCACCTCTTGGGTCCAAGCAGTTCTTCTGCCTACCTCAGCCTTCTGAGTAGTTGGGATTACAGGTGTATGCCACCATACCCAGCTAATTTTTGTATTACTTGTAGAGATGGGGTCTCACCATGTCAGCCAGGCTGGTCTCAAACTCCTGACCTCAGGTTATCCACCCACCTCAGCCTCCCAAAGTGCTGGAATTACAGGCATGAGCCACCACACCCGGCATTTTTTTTTTTCTATTTTCCAAATGAACTGTAAGCCCAGTATTCTCCAGTGCTGCTTCAGTTGTAGAGCTAGATGTCTGGTTAGCTTTCTTCTCTGGCACTCCACTTCCAACTCAGGGCTCCCCTGACCAGTTTCAAAGTTCTAGGTTCCTCCCTTGTGACCCTGAATGTCCATTGCCAACATCTACAAATGGTTGTCATGTCCAGCAAGAATTAGGTTAATGTGTTTTCTCAATTTTATGCTTTTAATGAATTTTTTCTAAGCTTCCAACATTTTGCCAACGTTTTCCTGCTACAAAGTTAAGCTGATCACAGTGACAGGTAGTGAGTAGCTAATAAACACAGGGAATACTTGGCTTGACATTTTGGTATGTTTGTTGAATTTACAAGTGCATCTGATTTTAAATAGTTATTTTCTGTTAGGAAACGTTTCCTAATGCAGGTAAATCTAACTCTACTTGTGACATGGGCAGAGAGCCACATCATATCTAGGCATTCCTCAAAGTAAACAGTGGTGTGGTATAAAGCTAGGACTTTTTTCCAAGGGCAGGAAAAGAGTGTAAAAAAGATATTTTAAAAATAAAACTAGGACTTATGGATGGGGAATGTGGACAGCGAGAGTCTGACACAGAAACAGGACTTCCCACCCCTCGCCGTGGGTGCTTCCCTTCCCCAGGTGTCTTCTTTTAGGATTTCTTCTAAGTTGGGGCAGCTGTTCCCCCCACTCTTCTAGATGGTGAGTTTTTTGTTTGTTGGTTTTTTTTTTTTTTTTTTTTTTTTTTTGGTAGTGAGTTTTTATTCAAGAAAATAAGAAAACAGATGTCTGGTTGCGGAAGAAAGAGCACTTAACTTGGAGTCAGAAAACTGATGGACAGTTCAGCTTGGTAGTAATGAGTCTAGGCTTTGGATGCCTGAATTTGAATCCACTTAGTATCTGTGTGACCCGGTAACTGAGATGGGCTTGTTGCAAGGAATACATGAGTTAACATGTATCGAGCAATGCCTGGCCCACAGTAAAAACAATGAGCCTTAAGAAGACTTGATCTTGGGATCCCAGCCCTGTCATTTACTAGCTGTGCCACTTAGCTTATTCTTAAATTGCTTCAACTCTCATTTGTACTCATCTGTAAAATGAGGGAACTGCACAGTCATCCCTCTGAGGCTGCTCTTTTTTTTTAAACAGAGTTTTGTTCTTGTTGCCCAGACTGGAGTGCAGTGGCTCGATCTCAGCTCACTGCAACATCCATCTGCCTCCCGGGCTCAAGCAATTTTCCTGCCTCAGCCTCCCTAGTAACTGGGATTACAAGTACTACCACACCCAGCTAAGTTTTTGTATTTTTAGTAGAGATGGGGTTTCGCCATGTTGGCCAGGCTGGTCTCGAACTCCTGACCTCAGATGATCCACCCACCTTGTCCTCCCAAAGTGCTGGGATTACAGGTGTGAGCCACCACACCCAGCAAGGCTGCCCTTTTCATCTCTGCAGATACATATGGCTCTGCAAGGGAAGTATTATCAGTTGGGGTGGAACATGCAGCCAGGACCTGAGCTCCAAGGTCTATAGTAAATACATTTTACATGACAACTCGATGTGTGTGTAATTGTAGGAAAAGATTCATGAAATAACATTTACTTTTGCTATATTTAATACACTGTAATCTATATTCTTCAATTCTAGTTCTTAAAAAGTAAAACTTTTTTTTTTTTTTTTGAGACAGACTTGTTCTTTTTGTCCAGGCTGGAGTGCAATGGCGTAATCTCAGCTCACTGCAAACTCCGCCTCCCAGGTTCAAGCGATCTCCTCCCTTAGCTTCCCAAGTAGCTAGGATTACAGGTGCCCACCACCATACCCAGCTAATTTTTGTATTTTTAGCTGAGATGGGGTTTCACCACTTTGGCCAGGCTGGTCTTGAACTCCTGACCTCAGGTGATCCGCCTGTCTCAGCCTCCCAAAGTGTTGGGATTACAGGCGTGAGTCACCACACCCAACAAAAAAACTTTTAATAATGACTCTGAAACTTAGGACCAGCACAGACTTCTTGAGGGTGATGTTAGAGAGCTCTGGCCACCTATGGCTAACCTTTCTGTGTGTTTTGGGTGGTTGGGAAAATATGAGAGGCTGTGCTCATGAGTTAATTATTTTTCTTCAAATTTTACGTTGTGAAGGATCTGTGCCAAAATCTTACAGTGGTTAACATAGAGTAGACTATGGCTGGTTTTAATTTTTCTTTTCTTTTTTTTTTTTTGAGATGGAGTTTTGCCATTAGCCAGGCTTGGTGGCATGCACATGTAGTCCCAGCTACTCAGGAGGCTGAGGCAGAAGAATTGCTTGAACCTGGGAGACGGAGGTTTCAGTGAGCTGAGATTGCACCATTGCACTCCAGCCTGGGTGACAGAGTCAGACTCTGTCTCAAAAAAAGAAGGCTGGGTGCAGTGGCTCATGCCTGTAATCCCAACACTTTGGGAGGCTGAGGCAGGCAGATCACGAGGTCAGGAGTTTGAGACCAGCCTGGCCAACATAGTGAAACCTTGTCTCCACTAAAAATACAAAAAAATTAGTCAGGCATGGTCGCACATGTCTAATCCCAGCTGCTCGGGGCTGAGGCAAGAGAATCCCTTGAACCAGGGAGGTGGAGGTTACAGTGAGCTAAGGATCGTACCATTGCACTCCAGCCTGGGCAACAGGAGTGAAATTCTGTTTCAAAAAACAAACAAGCAACCCCCCCTCCGCCCCAAAACCAGGAAACCTTTCAGTGCCACAGAAAATAGACTATGGAATGCAATAAGAATATCTCTGCCTCGGCTGGACATGGTGGCTCACGCCTGTAATCCCAGCACTTTGGGAGGCCAAGGCAGATGGATCACCTGAGGTCGGGAGTTTGAGACCAGCCTGACCAACATGAAAAAAAATCCCATCTCTACTAAAAATACAAAATTAGCCAGGTGTGGTGGTGCATGGCCGCAATCCCAGCTACCCAGGAGTGTGAGGCAGGAGAATTGCTTGAATCCAGGAGGCAGAGGCTGTGGTGAGCTGAGATCACGCCATTGTACTCTAGCCTCGGCCACAAGATCAAAACTCCATCTCAAAACAAAAACAAATCATTGAGAACTACTGTTAATTTTTTTTTTTTTTTGAGCAGTCAGTACCCAGAGCTAATCTGGGGGAGGGGGAAGAGCAGAACCAGTGCTTTCACTATACTAGTATCACATCAGACCTTCCTGACAATCCTATGCGCTAAGCACATTACTTGCAGCTGGAAGAGTCACTATGCTGTGGTATATGGCCTTCGGCACATGCAGGTTGATATGACTTTTTGTAGGAGTGCATAAGTATAGGACTAGACATAAAGTGTTCGTAGTGCATATGGTTTATGTTGTAAGAATGTCATGACACTGCACTTGTGAGATAAAACTGATTTATTATTTGTTTCAGGTTATAAACACCATGGCTATGACTAGTGTCAAATTGCTTGCTGGTGTTTTAAGAAAGCCAGATGCCTGGATTGGACTCTGGAGTGTTCTCCGAGGGACACCTTCATCACAAAAACTCTGCGCTTCCTGGAATCGATACTTGTATTTTTCTAGTACCAAGTTACGTGCACCAAATTATAAAACACTTTTCTGTAATCTTTTCTCACTGAGACTCCCAGGGCTTTTAATATCTCCAGAATATATTTTTCCATTTTCCCTAAGACTCAAAAGTAATATAAGCTCTAAAAAATCTAAAAAGTCTCTGCAAAAAGTAGATGATGAAGACTCTGATGCAGAAAGTGATCATGACGAGATGAGTGAGCAGGAAGAGGAGTTTGAGGATGACCCTACTGTAGTCAAAGACTATAAAGACTTGGAAAAAACAGTGCAGTCTTTCCGATATGATGTTGTCCTGAAGACAGGCCTAGATATTGGGAGAAAGTGAGTATGATACACATTTCATTATAAACTCACTCGTCTTGTTATTTTAATGCAGCATGACAAATCACTTGGCCCATATCATGGTGAAGAATAACCACAACAAAAGGACCTTTATAGGTAACCTGTTTCAATTATTTCATTTTATAGATGAGAAAACTGATTTCCAAAGAAGTCACAAGTGACTGCCTGCAAATCCCATGTGCCATATTTCCTTGAATGTAAGACACAGTTGACTGTAAGATGAACCACTGATTTAATAACAGCTTCTTGAGGAGAAAATGAATCACCATATTAGATGTATGTAGCAAGCGTAAAATGCATCTGGATATTTCACAAATGCTATAATGTGAGAAGGTACCTCTTAGAATTAACAGGATGATGTATAATAAGATGATTGTTAAGAATGCAGGCTTTGGAGCCAGATTATTGGAGTTTTAGTTCTGGTTCTGTGTGACCTCGGGCAAGTTACTTAAAGTTCCTGTGACTCAGTTTCCCATCTGTAAAATGAGGATAGAACCTACTTTAGAGAGTGGTTGCTAGGACTGAGTGAGTATATATCTATCTCAAGCACTTATAATCTTATAATAGTGTCTGGCACATAGTAGGTACTCAATATATGTTGGCTGTTTTGAAGAAAATACTATATATGTTCACATATAGAGGTGTTGAGTATAACTCTTAAGATTTTAATATTCTGATTCTCTCTGCTAGGTTAATTATATAAGAATAGTGGCCTTTATTATTCATTTATTCTTTTTTTTTTTTTTTTTTTTAAACAGAGGCAGAGTCTTACTCTGTAGCCCAGGCTGGAGTGCAGTGGTGCAATCTCAGTTCACTGCAACCTCTGCTTCCTGGGTCCTGGTTCAAGCAGTTCTGCCTCAGCCTTCTGAGTAGCTGGGATTACAGGCACATGCCACCATGCCCAGGTAATTTTTTTTTTTTTTTAAGTAGCGACGGGGTTTCACCATGTTGGCCAGGCTGGTCTTGAACTCCTGACCTCGTGATTCACCCACCTCAGCCTCCCAAAGTGCTGGGATTACAAGTGTGAGCCACTGTACCCGGCCTGTTCATTTATGCTTTTAGGAATGATTGCAGGCATATTGTATACAAGGCAAGAATTGTGATATTAATAAACTTAAAAAAACTTCTTGCATTATTTGTATCTTTATGACCTAATTTAATGGCATAGTTTAATTTTTTAATTCTTGAAGCTTAAGAGATTCATAAAAATGAGTCAGTTCACAGACCCTGCTCCTGGCATTCTGATCAGGGTGCCATTAGAGAATGTTCTCTATATTCTGGCAGACTCATCAGGGTGCCTCTTCTCTCCCGGAGTAGTTGCTGCTGTTATTATTAAGCTGAGCTCCACATATCAGTCACCCAGAATCAGATAATCAAAAAAAGGGTAGTGATTTTTAGCTGCTTCCTTCCCTGGTCTGGTTGCCCCAGTGACTTAAGTTCAGAGAGATCAGCAGTCAGATTGGAATTTCCCCAGACAGTACAGACTGGCAGAGGGTTTCTTAATGGCCTTGCTATACACGTGGTGCCTGGTTTTTCTCTTGGTATACAGAGCAGGTACCTGAGGGAAAGGAAATGCCCACTCACTCTAGCTGTCATGAATCATCAGAGCTACAGCCTGACCATGTGGTCTCTGCACTGGGAGTCAGGTGGAGCCCCTGTCCAGAATGGAGCTTGACATGTATACTAAAACCTCTCTTAAGGCTCCATCCAGTTAACTTCCCAAGAGCATTAGCAAATCTTTGCAGCAGTTAAACATCTGTTTAGAAATGCCCTCTCATCTCCCTGTATTAGATACATACCAGAACAGGTGACTTTCACTTTCCCAGTACTCAAAATGGAGACTCTGGGGAGTCACTGTCCAAATAAACATTAATGGCAAGTGTTTCTCTCAAACTTACATACAGTTGATACTTGAACAATGTGGGGGTTAGGGGTGCCAACCTCCGTGGGGTTGAGAAGCTACTTGTAAACTCCGAAAACTTAGCTACTAATATTTCGACATTCAGAAAACTTGACTACTAATATGGTCTACTGTTGACCCTGTTGACTGAAGGCCTTACTGATACACAGTTACAATAAAGTAAGCTAGAGAAAAGAAAATATTATTAAGAAAATCATAAGAGGATGAAAATACATTTATTTAGAGACAGAGTCTCTGTCACCAGACTGGAGTACAGTGGCCCAGTCTTGTCTCGCTGCAGCCTCCACCTCGTGGATTCAAGTGATTCTGCCTCAGCTTCCCAAGTAGCTGGGACTACGGGCGCACGCCACCATGCCCAGCTAATTTTTGTATTTTTAGTAGAGACGGGGTTTCGCCATGTTGGCCAGGATGGTCTCAACCTCTTGACCTCGTGATTCGCCCGCTTTGGCCTCCCAAAATTCTGGGATTACAGGTGTGAGCCACTTTGCCTGGCCTATTTACTTTTTTTTTTTTTTTTTTTAAGCTGGAGTGTAGCAGCGTGATCTCAGCTCACTGCAACTTCCACCTCCCAGGTCAAGCGATTCTCCTGCCTCAGCCTCCTGAGTAGCTGGGACTACACACATGCACCACCATGCCCAGCTAGTTTTGTTTTGTTTTGTATTTTTTAGTTGATAAAGGGTTTCATTATGTTAGCCAGGCTGGTCTTGAACTCCCTACCTCATGATCCACCTGTCTTGGCCTCTGAAAGTGCTGGGATTACAGGTGTGAGCCACCCACACCCGGCCCTATTTACTATTTATTAAGTGGAAGTGGATCATCATGAAAGTCTTCATCCTGGTCATCTTCACCTTGAGTAGGCAGAAGAGGAGGAGGAGGAAGAGGAATTGGACTTGCTGTCTCAGGGGTGGCAGAGGCTGAAGGAAATCTGCATGTAAGTGAATCTGCACAGTTTGGACCTGTGTTGGCCAAGGATCAACTGCAATTGTTTTGAGTGTATGTCTACATTTTAAAGCACTTTACCTTTAAAAAGAGATTTGAGGATACAAGTGCAGTTTTGTTACATGGATACATTTTATAGTGATGAAGTCTGCTTAGTGTACCCATCACCCTAAATGTGTACATTGTTGCTTTCTTTTTTGTAGCAAAGTAGAAGATGCATTCTACAAAGGTGAACTCAGGCTGAATGAGGAAAAATTATGGAAGAAAAGCAGAACGGTGAGATACTAACCTAAAATAGCCAGATGTTTTTGTCTCTTGCTCTGTTAGTACTCAATTACTGCTGCCCCAAAATTTCCCTCTGGCCCCTCTTCTTTCTCTGAGGTCCTCTGTGGTCCTCCAGTTCAAGCTGGTGGGAGTCACATACAGCCTTCAATCACACAAGCACTTTCACTTTTGCAGCCTTAATGATCCTCTGATAAAGCTTCTCCCTTTTTAAATTTTAGAATAAGCCACTGTTAGAAATGGCAGAAATCCATTAATTAAACTTCCAGGTCATTAATGTTAGCCCTCATGGAATCCTCATAATAAGATTTCAAAGAAACATTTGATCCACCTAGAGGTGTTCTTTGGCTGATGGTATCTGAGCAGATGTGTAATTCTGTACAACTCCGCAGTACCCACCGAGTGCTTGCTGGATGCATGGCTTTGTGTGCAGAGCAGCTATAAAAAGATGTGTTCTGTATTTTCTGACAAATCCATATCAATACTGTTGTTAAGTGAAAGTCAGTTACAAGAAAATGTGTTTCCAGGCTCCCCCCATTTTTTTTTTTTTTTTTTTTTTTTTGAGATGGAGTTTTACCCTTGTTACCCAGGCTGGAGTGCAATGGCATGATCTTGGCTCACCGCAACCTCCGCCTCCTGAGTTCAAGCAATTCTCCTGCCTCAGCCTCCCAAGTAGTTGGGACTACAGGGGAGCACCACCATGCCCAGCTAATTTTTGTATTTTTAGTAGAGATGGGGTTTCACCTTGTTGACCAGGATGGTCATGATCTCTTGACCTCGTATCTATCCGCCTTGGCTTCTCAAAGTGCTGGGATTATAGGTGTGAGCCACCGTGCCCAGGTCCCCCCCCCTTTTTTTTTGAGATGGAGCCTCGCTCTGTGTCACACAAGTTGGAGTGCAGTGGCATGATCTCAACTCACTGCAGCCTCTGCCTCCAGGTTCCAGTGATTCTCCTGCTTCAGCCTCCTGGGTAGCTGGAATTACAGGCATGTACCACCATGCCCGGCTAATTTTTATATTTTCAGTAGAGAAGGGGTTTCTCCATGTTGGCCAGGTTGGTCTCAAACTCCTGACATCAGCTGATCCGCCCACCTCGGCCTTCCAAAGTGCTGGGGCTGCAAATGTGAGCCACCACGCCCAGCCCAGTCTCCACTTTTCTAACAATAAATCATATATAAAAATTCTGGGGCACAGTGGCTCACACTTGTAATCCCAGGACTTTGGGAGCTGAGGCCAGCAGATTGCTTGGGCGCAGGAGTTCAAGACCAGCCTGGGCAACATGACAAAACTCTGTCTCTATAAAAAAATACAAAAAATTAGCCAGGTGTGGGGTGGGTGTTTATCTCAGCTTCTCGGGAGGCTGAGATGGGAGGATTACCTGAGCTTGGGAGGTCAAGGCTGCAGTGAGCCATAATCATGCCACTGTACTCCAGTTTGGGTGACAGAGACCTGTCCAAAAAAAAAAAAAAAAAAAAATCCTGGTAGAAAATATATTTTTGTAAAAGTAAATTACATATATACAAACATCTGGAATTAAAATACTGCTGTTACTAGTATTTAAGTGAAACATTATGGGTTATATTGATTTTGTTCATGCTTTTATTTTCTGAATTTTTTACCATTAGTATAAAAATTGGAAAAATACTGATTAAAAAAGTTAACAAAACACAATGAAAAGATATGACAGAGACCCTTAAAAACTGTGAAAGACCAGACGCGGTGGCTCACACCTATAATCCCAGCACTTTGGGAGGCCGAGGCGGGTGGATCATGAGGTCAAGAGATCGAGACCATCCTGGTCAACATGCTGAAACCCCGTCTCTACTAAAAATACAAAAATTAGCTGGGCATGGTGGTGCACGCCTGTAGTCCCAGCTACTTGGGAGGCTGAGGCAGGAGAATTGCTTGAACCCAAGAGGCGGAGGTTGTGAGCCAAGATTGTGCCATTGCACTCCAGCCTGGGTAACGAGAGCTAAACTCCGTCAAAAAAAAAAAACTGAAAGACAAAAGACATGAGGTATTGGAAGGTATAATCTAACTCAGTGTTCCAGGAACAAAGGTTCCAGAGAAGTTAGACATACTTTGGAGATTGTTTTTATTTCATCTTCTTTCATATTTCAAAACACCCCTGGGGATGGAAGATCTGAGCTATATCCGGTTGCCCTAGGACTTGGGGCATTGAGGCTGTCAGCTGTCAGCCATGCATTTGGGTGAGCACTGAGGCTTCCTGCAGTCCTTGCTAACTGGGATCATGCAGGTTCTTGCAGCAGTGTGGGCAGGAGGGAAAACTCCCCCATGCTGTCTCAGCCCCCACGTCACAGGCCCTGGTGATCCACCTGACTTGAGCTGGCATGTTTGCACTGCAGCTGTCTACTATTATTCAGTGAGCTGCACGCAGTCATAAGCGCTTCTCATCTCTGAATTTCTTTTTCCTGACTGTAGCCTGCCCTCCTTCTAAGCTGCAGTATTCCAAAAACAAGATATGTTCTTGGAGTAAGGAATGATTACTCCCTGAACACCCTGTCTCTGTGCTGGGGCCTCATTTACAAACCCCACTAGACTATTTTTCTCCCCGTTTTGTGATGATGTTAACTACAGCCTAATTGCTGCTGCTTCATTCTGCCTTGGGTGTTTAGTTGTCTCAGCTGCCTTCCAGGTTTCTCATGAGGGTCAGCAGAGGAAGGGGGCATTATTAACACTAAGCTGTCTTGTTACTAGGAGGCCTGGTAGCCATAGAAACTGCAGCTGACTGGAAATTTGAAATGTAGATATTTGGAACAGCCCCTAATCTCCGCCAGTTTTGCTTTGTGTCTGGTGAGGGACAGGGCCTTGGAGGGGAATAAAAAATATCTTGCCTTCCCTGCTCTGCTCTTTGGAGCCAGTGCCTAGCTGCTGGCCCCAAAGGGTCAGGTGCTTGTCTGATGCTGCAGCTCTAACCCTGGCTGCCTGCAGTTCAGCAGAGCTTTTCTTTGAGCTGAAAACAGGTGGAACCCAGAGCTGAGTAACTGTTGATTAAGCAGTGGGTGTGTGGTGCCCAAGTATGGGGACTGAATCCTTCCTAAACTCATCTCTTCTTGGGATCAGTTGGGTAAGGAGAAAGACGCCTTCTCTGTGCTACAAGGAAGCCCCAGAGGGATTCATTCTTTAGCCACACACTGGCCTCTCTTTTGAGAGGCTGACATCATGCACAATATCTCTATGGAAAGATATACATAGAGTATCCTTTTCTTTGTATATCTTTTTTCTTTTCGTTGGAGACTGGGTCTTGCTTGGTTGCCTAGGCTGGAGTGCAGTGGTGTAACCACAGCTCATTGCAGCCTTGACCTTCCGGGCTCAAGTGATCTTTCCACCTCAGCCTCCCAAGTAGCTGGTACTACAGGCACACCACCACACCTGGCAAATTTTTTATTTTTGGTAGAGACAGGGTCTCACTGTGTGATCTAGGCTGGTCTTGAACTCCTGACCTCAAATGATCTGCCCACTTAGACCTCCCAAAGTGCTGAGATTACAGGCATGAGACACCACACCTGGCCTATATACCTTTTCTTTGTATACCCTTTTGTGTCTTCTAAATTTTATATCACATGCATATATTACTTATTAAAAGAATTTTAGGCCCAGCACAATGGCTCATCCCTGTAATCCCAGCACTTTGGGAGGCCAAAACCCCATCTCTACTAAAAATACAGAAAATTACTTCCAGCTATTCGGGAGGCTGAGGCAGGAGAATCGCTTAAACCCGGAAGGTGGAGGTTGCAGTGAGCTGAGATCATACCACTGCACTCCAGCCTGGGTGACAGAGTGAAACTCCTTTTTTTTTTTTTTAAATAATTTTATCTGGGCAAGGTAGTGCATGCCTGTAGTCCCAGCCACTTGGGAAGCTGAGGCAAGAGTGTCATTGAGCTCAGGAGCTTAGACTGCAGTGCACTGTGATTGTGTCTATGAATAGCTACTGCATTCCACCCTGCACAACATGTGAGACCCATCTCTAAACTTTTTAAAATAATAATTTTAATGAAATAAGGTTATGCCAAAAAAGGTAAAGCAGAGTTCCTAAGCCTTGTTTTTCTAGACAGATTTTTTAAATGTCCACACAGGCCGAAGTAGTCTTGTTAAACACTGAACCCATTGTTACTGATTCCTGAAAAAAATAAATAAAAATTGAATCCAGGGTCAGGTGTAGCGGCTCATACCTGTAATCCCAGCACTTTGGGAGATTGAAGCGGGCAGATCATGAGGTCAAGAGTTCAAGACCATCCTGGCCATCATGGTGAAACCTCGTCTCTACCAAAAACACAAAAGATTAGCCAAGCGTGGTGGTGTATGCCTCTAGTTCCAGCTACTTGGAAGGCTGAGGCAGGACAGTCACTTGAACCTGGGAGGCAGAGGTTGCAATGAGCTGAGATTGTGCTGCTGCACTCCAGCCTGGTGACAGCAAGACTCCATCTCAAAAAAAAAAAAAAATTGAACCCAGCGAAACTACAGAAAGGTGGAACTCCCCCTACCCCTGCCCAGATAATAACCTATGTTGTTCTATTCCTCAAACCCAAGGAGAGAAACAGTCTTGACCATAGCTGTGGTATGAGCCTTTCTGTTTCTCAGCCCACAGGAGAGGAAGTTAATGGTTTAAAATCCGCCCCTGCATGAGTTTTATATCCAGTTCCTGTGGGCTTCCTGGATTGGTCAGTATAGGGTTGTGGCAAGCAGGTGTGCATGCCATGTTGTGGACTGACTACTGGGCCTGCAGAGGTCTTGAGTGGGTGGGAGAATAGGCATGGGCTTGTTCTGGTGAGGTTCAAAGGTTTCACAGTCTGAAGTTGTATCTGCCTTAGAGAACATTAATTGGAAAATAAAGGTCAGCATTTTGACACCATACTTCTTAAACAGAAGCCCTCCAGTAGCCTTATAAATGGCCATGTGTGCCCACTTACTGTCAGTGGTCCACACATGGGCTTGCTCACCCCATACTGGAAGCAGTGGTGAGGGTAATGAGA